CAAATGTCGAGAAACTAACAGGGAGATTTCGCAGGTGATGACCGCGGGAGATTGGGGTCGCGGCTGTTGTGGCGTTACAAAATCAATCTGGTCAATCCAACTCGAATTTTACCTCTCTATATATAGTTTTAGATCCCAAAACTCTATTATATCTCATTTTCTCTCAAGAACTTGTTTCTAATTGTAAGAGCTTGAATCTTTATATCATTTTAAGGAAGTAGTTCATATTAAATCTTGTTTCTCATTCTCATTAACATGATTAGCCTTGAATTCATCATGGATTTAAGGTTTCTCATGGAGATTAGAGAGTAGACACTTTTTGAATCCATGGATTAGGTAGATTTAAGGTGATTAAATATAGATCTAAGTGTTTCCTTGCTAGTAGAGTGTGTTTAATGCTATTCTAGACTTGATCATTCTAGAATTGAACCTTAGTTATTTCCTGCTCACAAGGTGTATGTTGAAATGACTGAACCAACTTTATTGAGCTTTAGGACTACCTAGCCAATGACCATTTGTATCTAGGGGTTTTAGATAGTTATTAAACTTACTCTTAATGATTGCTTAAATTAATTGAGCCAATGACCATTTGTGTTTGATAAATGAAAGCAAATGAGCATTTGTCTAGATCTAGAATTTGCTTAGTTAAGTTGTTTAGACTTAAGGAATATTTTGATTGAAACTTTGATTGCTTTAGATCAATTTTCTTAATCCCATAGATTCTACCTTATCATTTGATTGAAAGTGTTCTTGCATTTATTTCTTGATTGGATTTGAGATCATCTTTGTTTATATTTTTAGGATCTTAGCTTGTTACAATCATCAATTTCTCTTATTTGCTTAGATTAGGAAAATTTGTGTATTCTTAGTGTTTAGATCATTAGTTCCATGTGGTTCGACAATCTTAAATACTACATTGATTTGCTCTGAGGACTTAGAAACCCTTATCATTAACATTCACTTTCATGTTTGTTTGGTTTATTACAATGAACATAACTTTCATTATAATTTATGTTTTCATCACATTTAAGAATTGTAAATTGTTTTACTGCAAGCAAGTCTAGCTAACAGAAAACAAAAGAAGTTGAGTAATACAGCGTCATTTCTTTTCTCTTGCATAGATTTTTTTAATCAATATATTAGTACAAAGTTCAACTTATGTTTGGTAGTGGAAAGAAACAATACATGTATTAAATTATTAATGGTAAAAACTAGGAAGTGCTATTGGAATTTTTTTTTTAATGGAAAAACGTGTATGTGAGTAACCATTCCTTAATAGTTATTTTTGGAAGTTTGTTTATGCATCATTATCATACTTAACAAAACTGATTTAGTTTATTTTTAATGGAAGAACATCTATCGAGTAACCTTTCTTTAATAGTTATTTTTGGAAGTTTGTTTATGCATCATTATCATGCTTAACAAAAATGATATAGTTTAATAAAAAAATATGACATAGTTTAGATATGAAAGATATTCATCTTCGTTTAATAACCTATATAAAATTGATCTTTATTCTCACTCGAAACCCTTCTCGTTGTTGCGCGTTGCATTTCTCAGGTATAAGATTTTAACGATTTGACCGGTCAATTTCAAAATTTGATTACCTCCCTCTTGATTTTGAAGCTTCAATTTTAAAAATTGTGTGTGTCAGATTTGCTTGTGAAAGCTGAAACAATGAACGTCTTAGCCTCTGCAACTGCTAGATGCTGGAGACAACTATGAAGCATTGAAAGAGGCCATTGGTGCGCAAGTGTCTTCTTGTTTACTGTTTGTTATGGATTTCTTATTTAATGCACAAAATCTACACATAGTGGTCACTGATATGCCTATATATCAGGAATTAATTACATAAAAGTATTGAGAATATTATTTCACTCAACAATTTAGTTTTGTGAAATTGTTCTCCTTTTTGTTTTCAGCTTCTGCTTGCAAATGGTGCTGATGTGAATGTTTCAGATGCAAAAGGTTTTACACCTCTCCATGTTGCCAGCAGTGTCGATTTTCTTGTTGACTTTGTTGAGCCCATGTTGGAATGAGAAGCCAACTTGGAGGCTCGGAATCTTGCTTTGACTGCGTTGAACTTCTTCTGGCATGGGGAGCTGATGCAAATGTTGTTGCTATGAGGCAGCGCACTCCCCTTCATCTTGCTTGTCATCAAGGGGATGAAGTGACAGTCCAGGTATGTGGTATTTTCTCTCTCTTATATATGTGGTGGATGTTCATTCATTTATATCGTGTCTTACTTAAATCATTTTATGTTCGAAGCTAATTCTCAATCATGACGCAAACATTGAAGATAGACATGAGAATCGATGGACACCACTTCACTTTGCATGCTTCTATAACCAAATATAATAACAGGAACATCAACACCAGCCCGCAAAAGTAATGTGGTGTCCATCCATTCTCATGTATATCTTCAATGTTTGCGCCATGATTGAGAAGTAACTAGATTTAACGACATATGACCAAATATTTTAAGTTAAGATTCAAATTTAACACTGATTCATCCATGGAGAGCTGATGCACACTGAATGTCTATAGGCTATAGCTATGTAAGGGCCAGCCTTTGGAGAACTTATCTTGAGTAGGAAGTAACCAAATCCACATGAATAGAGGAATAAAAATGGAAAAAATGAACTAAACTAAGTTAACCGAAACAAGTTCAGATTATTTTGAGTAGTTTTGGCTAATGATGGATCTTACTTAAGAACTTGGCTTCAAAAACTTGGAAATGCTTCTTCATCTCAATCACAGCCTTCTCAGCAATTGGATCAATCTCATCTTCGTACTTGTCATATAGCTTTGGCACCGTGTGAATCAATACAAAACCTGTTGGTTTCAAAAATAAAACTATTAAGACATAACCTCTAAATAGACTTCCCCCCCCCAAAAAAAAAGAGAGTATGAGAACAAGTTTTGTGCACGCTTACATATGTAGAGCAATGTCAAGAAGCTGAACCAGTTTCCGATGATAGATATGAGCCAAAGTCCTATGACTACCTTTGTTTCAGAAACAAATGTAAATAATTTCAGAGAGTGATGTAACAAACAAACAAAAAAGACTAAAAAAGTAGTACCAGTGCAAAGTTTTTGATGTTTCTCTAAAGCAATGCTCCTTAACGTTGCAAGAGCACAGTTAACCTCAAATGTCAATGCAGAAGCAGCTTGGAGTAATGGCTTCTCAGGGATATAAATCTCCACTATCTTCTCAGGAGACCTTTTAAATGATCATTTAAATTTTTCATATTACCAAACAGGTTTCACTTCCATATTATTTTCAAGAAAAACAAACAAACAAACAAAAAAGAAAAAGATTTTACCTGTTGAGGGCATTGGACCAGACGAATGAGAGAAGCAGAAATAGATTCGATCCACGACAAACAAAATGTAAGCAGGCGACAATGTTCGAAACCAAACAAGAGCCAAATCACAGTCAATGCACCCACTAACCCTGCCGTGACCTTCTTGTCCCTCCATAGCAACACATCCGCAGCTTCAACAACATCACACAACCCATTTGGTGATTAGGTCACATTATCAAATCACAATTAATTTTTAAATGATCTAATTAGGTATCACTATAATCATCGTCCAAATATATTGAGAAATGAAAATGAGAACGAGTGAAGGATAGTGTGTATCGTACGTTTACCTCCGCCGAGAACCATGTGGATCGGTCTTTCTCGTCCAAAAATACGGTAGATCGGAGCATTGATGGGAACGGGAGAATCTGGTATCTCGCTATCTGTATCTGACATGGATAGCGAATCCTCTTCTGTTACGATGTTTTTCATCAACGGCTCCTCCAATGGACCCACTCTCTCTAGCTGTTCTTTCTCCTTCTACATTTCTCTGTCTGATTTCGAAATCTCTATCTCAATCCAGACCTTTTGCGTGTCGATGTAAAAAAAATCGAGAAATAAAAGAGGCAAATTTGTTTATATATCGCTTGAGCCTAGTGGTTCGTTATTCGTGAGCCTTGTGTTCTAAGACCATCCACAATGGTGGATTTGTGGATGGAGTCCTTACCAATAAAAAAATAATTTTTTTTTGTTTGAATAGTTAAGGATTTCAATTCAAAAAAGTAGGTGCATTGGTGTTATCCGAAATAGAATCCTTAGGAATTAAAAAATATAAAATTGGGAAAATTAAAAATTTTTATTAGAAAGTTTTTTAAAAAAAAGATACATTAACTTTTATTCCAAATATTCTTAATCAAATCAGTTTTTCACCCTTTCGATACCAAATGAATTTTTTTCCCAACATGAGAAAATTCTATTGCTCACCGGCCCAACCAAACGAGGACACGTGCACGAATGACTGATTGTTTCGGGTCCTTACACAAGGACTCAACCGTACAGATCCTTCTAATTTTGAGCCCAAAAAGATTTATTTTTAATCCAAAATACGTAAGGATTCGGCCCACGTACCCCGTTGCGGGTGGTCTAAGCTCTCTCAACAACGTTTGTTGTACTTCTGAATGTGGGCCTGAATATCGGCCCAAGACTCAACAAGGTGAAAGCAGCACAAATGGCAATTGCTTTGCCCAACCATAAAAAGAATATGTCATGTGCCATGTTTAGCATTTAATGAAGGGAAAACTTTTCTTCGAAACTTGTTAATCATAAAATAATCACTGTTAAATAGAGTGACAGTTACAGACAGACTCTATTAATGGTAATGTCCAATTTAACTAAAAACAAATAAACTGCAAAAGTAATTTATTTTCTTATCAGTTACAAATTGTATATTTCAAAACATTGATTTTGGGATATTATCTGTTTTTATTTATATGGATATTTTAAAAAGAATTAAAGTATAACTGAATCGGATGACACAGTACGAATATGGGCTTAAATAATATTTAAATATGATACTAACTGCAAAAGAAATTATTTTCTTATCAGTTTCAAAACTTTGTTTACATTACAAATTTAACTATTTTATATTTTCAAAACAAAAAAATTGACTTTTGAGATTTTATTTGTTTTTATTTATTGGAATAATTTCAAAGAATTAATATATAACTGAACCGGATACGAAACAGTACGAATATGGGGCTTAAATAATAATATACAATTAAAATTTTCTAAAATATTTAAAAAACAAGAAAAAAAGTAACAAAGAACATTTTTTTCTTCCTATTTTTACATATAATCCGAGAATAATTCCTTAATCCTATATCCCTTCCTAAAAGAAAGTATTCTTTCTACCACCACTCAGTCCTAACCTCCAACGAATCATATTCCGCCGCTAGTTGTGGCCGCACTGTTCACAACCCACGAAAGATCAAAACTCGCCGGAGCAGAGTTCCCCGAAAAGCTATCTCCCACCGCAAACTCCTCCAACCCCTCGAAGAAATCCTCGCTCACCACCGTGTCCGACAACGACAACAGATCCTCGTCTCCCTCCAAATCTCCTCCGACCTCCACTGGCATCACAAACTCGTCGGCTGACGTCACCGGAGACGTCGAGTAAGCAGCGATCGTTGTCGTCGGAGACTTAGCCGCCGTCGTCGTCTGCTGATCGGAGGATTTCTGACGGGTGCTTCCGGCGAGAGAGTTACGGTGAGTAGGAGCTGGGTGGTTGTGCTCCGCCGTGTACGTGACGATGAACATCGCCGGGTCGGATCTGTTTCGCTCCACTTGTTTTCGGGCTAAACATCCTTTCGATGTACTGCATCTGTAATATCCTCTGTTAAAAAAAAACAAAAGAGGTAAATTTTAGAAACAGAATCAGAAACACAGACAAGTGTTTTGTCTCGAAATAATAACACATTAAATAACATTAAATGATTTTTATGGTAAAAAGATTTAATCTTTTTTTTTTTTTTCATGTAACAGTACCTTGGGTATGGTGAGCCTTTGATGGGTTTTTGTCCGTACTTTCGCCATGCCCAGACATCGTTGTTTAAAGCTTCTGCTGCTACATGGCACACTTTCTTATGCTGAATCTTTCTGAAACAAGAAACAAAACACACGAGGGACTTTTTAGACATCTTTTGATGTGTTCGCAAAAAAAGGTTTTAGCTTTCTGGGTTATTACAAAGAAATCGAACCTTCTTTTAGATCTAGAGGTGTTGGAGCCGGTGGGTTTGCTAGTGACGCTACCGGAAGAAGCAGAGAGAGAGAGAGGACGTTTCAGGTTTTGTCTCTGTCTGGGCTCTTCTGGATAATTCAGACAAGAAAACGAGGATGCGTTTGAGTCTTGTGTGAACGGCGTGTAGAGATCTCGAACCTCTCCGAAGACGACGGTGTTACTTCTTGGTTCGAAGGTGAACACAGGGCTCGTGTGAGATGAAACGTTGCTGGAGGAGAAGACGGTGGCTGTGGTGGTTGCTGATGAGCTCACGGCTGAGCAGCCTCTGACTACGGCGTGGAGATCCCAATCGTCGGCCATTGACTTGGTTTCTCAGGGGAGACAAAAGCTTTTTCTGAGAATCTCTGAGGAGAGAGGATAGAAGCAGAGGAGACAAAAGAGAGCGCTGACTTTTGAAGGGCAGAGAGACATGTTTATATAAAGAGAGTAAAGAGGTGGAGATTTTAAAAGGGTTGAAAAATGGAGGTGAAGTTTTATTAAATTACTATAGTATAGTATACAATCTTTCTTTTTGACAACTGTAGAATACAATTTTGTTTTCTTCTCTTTTTATTTTTTGACAAAGCTAAATTATTCCACATGTGGACTGTTTTCAAAATATATCTAGTTTTAACTTCAAACCATTTATAGTACCTTGAAATGTACGATATATTTTTTAAAAAATTGGAAATGTATGATATTAAAACACTAAATGTAAAATTATGTGCTCAGTTATTTTATTCATAATTATAATTAGTTAAACTATTTAACTCCAATTTCAGTAATATATAATTATTGTGCTTAAGCCAGAATAGCATACATCTATAATATCTCAGTAAGGTATATTTTAATAGTTGATAAACATCTATACACAGAATTACTTGGAAATATAGCTTTCTAGGTGAGGTGAAATTATTTTGTTGTGATTGAAAAATTGTTTTCCATATAATTTAGTCACGTAGTACGGACGGTGGTACTTCCCTGGTTTGCTTGGTAAACATAACAAATCAATTACTAAACCTGAAATTAGTAACATAAGTACTGTAAATAAACAAGACAATGTCGTGTGAACACGATACAATTCTGCAAACTAATGTGAGTTGTTATTAGATAGGTAGCAAACGTATTTTGATCCTTAATATTTGTCCGAGTCCACTAAAACAAATTCCATTTTTGTGTAATCATCTCCTTTAAATAAACAGTTTTGGGGGTTATCTTCTTACATTTGATTAGAAAATATGTTTGCTTTATGGTTATAGTTAAACTAGGTTAGACATATTAGTAGGGGATTATTTGTGAAATAACCACAAAAAAAAGAATAATTAGTTTTCTAGAAAGAAGTTAGAGAGAGATAGGAAGAAAGAAGAGGAGAGAGGATAGGATTTTAGTTAGTTAGTTAATTTTGGTTTTTTTCATTGTCAGTAGGTGCAATTTCCCTATTAGTATCTTGTTTGTAAAGCAAAGAAGTATGAACACACTCTGAAAAGGAGTACTGTCGGACTCACAATCAGTGTATACGTATTTTATACAATAATATCTACATGTATATAAAAGTTATGTATAGAGAGAGAAGAATCATCTCTTTGATTTTGATTTTTTTACAAATCTAGAAAGAAAGTATGTGCTTGGAGAGGTATCTCGATGCTCTTATCCTCTTTTTTGTCGACTAGTGTCGGAGACTAAAACCATAAGTGGTTTCTGGTTTCCTGTTTTAGTTGACTTTTGTAGTTAGTCAAAGGCTTTGAATAATCTCCAAATACTTCTTTTGTCAACCTCACACTCCTTGTACATTTCCACGCGTCTTTCTCACACGCGCTTTTGACATTGTTTATAGTAGAAAATAGTGGGAAACCATACTTTCGTCGTAGTGCCTATTTATCGATGCGCACAAGAAGTAAAAAATTAGTTAAATACTAGGTTCAAAGCTCCGCGCAAGCGCGGAGCCGGAGACAATGATAATGCGTTATGATATTTTATAGATGGGATTTTGTCATTTTTTTGGACATTTTTTTGTTTGGGGTTTAACCGAAAACCCGATTAAATTGAGTTGGTATATGAATGAGTGAAAATTCATATGCTTTGAAATATTCATATATTATTTTAGTAATGATTTTCTCGAATATTTGTGTTATTAGTGCTTTTATGTCTAGGACTAGTGATTTATTATGTTGTTATTGTCTAATTTGTAGGTTGGTAATATATTATTGTTAAATAGTGAATTAGCATTTTTAAAACAAATTAAGATTTTATTAAATTATACAAAGAAATATAGTTTAATGGAGAAGAGAAAAATATGAAACATGTTTGTTAAGGGGTTGTGTGGAATGTTTAGAGATCAATATTTATTAATGAGTAAAGACCTGTTTTTATTTACATATAAGAGTGTTTGAGGAATTTATATGTGTTCGTATTTCTACATTTTTTTAAGATTTAATTGGATCTTAATGTTATTAGTGAGTTAATAACCATATGTAACCAAATATAGGTATTTGTTACTATACAACTATAATATGGGAACAAAGAAGAAATAATTTTGTTATTCGAAAAGAAATATATTTTGTAGTTTTCGATGTGCCATGACATGTTTTGAATATATATAACTGTAGTTTAATAAATGCTAATGCTTCGTATAATTATATACATGTATGACTAAGATAGTTATTTTTTTTTATTTGTCAAAAATATTTTGTGGTAGTTTAAAAATGGGAATGGTAGATTAAAAAGTTTAGTCGTATAGGACTATATTCGAACACAATGAAAATGTAGTAGCTGGGTTTTAAATGATTGGACATGAAATTTGATGAGTCTTGAGTCTCAATTTAGATCTGAAACTGGATTGTTTACTCGCCTTTTTTGTTTCTCCTCGTCATCTTCAGTAGTGTGACAAGCTCTTGTGATTCTTGGTCTGATTGTGTTTTTAGTGTGTCATTTTGTGAAATTATGGTTTTTCTATAGCAACATGGAAGAGAGATTAGCTCACCTCAGTTAAGGTTGTCTCTGTCGCATTCCTTACTCAGTGAACCTCTGTTGATTCGGTGTTCTCGGAACCTGCAATAAGAAGGTTTGAATTTGTTGTATGACTTTATTTCTATTATTATTAGTTTT